ACAAAACTAGAAAAAGAAGAATAAATGAGACCCAAAGTCAGTAGAAGGAGGGATATAATAAAGATTAGAGCAGAAATAAATAAAATTGAGAAGAATAAAACAATACAAAGAATCAATCAAAGCAAGAGCTGGTTGTTTGAGAAAATAATAAAAATAGATAAACTCCTAGCCAAACTTATCAAGAACAAAAGAGAGTCTACATACATAAGCAGAATCAGAAATGAGAAAGGAAAAATCACGATGGACACCACAGAAATGCAAAGAATTGTTAGAGAATACTATGAAAAATTATATGCTAACAAACTGGATAACCTAGAAGAAATAGACAACTTTCTAGAAAAATACAACCTTCCAAGACTGACCCAGGAAGAAACAGAAAATCTGAACAGACCAATTACCAGCAACAAAATTGAACTGGTAATTTAAAAACTACCTAAGAACAAAACCCCTGTACCAGATGGCTTCACCGTTCAATTTTATCAAACATTTAATGAAGACCTAATACCCGTCCTCCCTAAAGTTTTCCAAAATGTAGAAGAGGGAATACTTCCAAACTCATTCTATAAGGCCAACATCACTCTAATACCAAAACCAGGCAAAGACACCATAAAAAAGAAAATTACAGACCAATATCCCTGATAAACATAGATGCAAAAATACTCAACAAAATATTAGCAAACTGAATTAAAAATTATATCAAAAAAATCATCCACCATGATCAAGTAGGATTTATTCCAGGGATGCAAGGATGGTACAACATTCGAAAATCCATCAGCATCATCCACCACATCAACAAAAAGAAGGACAAAAACCACATGATCATCTCCATAGATTCTGAAAAAGCATTTGACAAAATTCAACACCCATTCATGATAAAAACTCTCCACAAAATAGTATGGAGGGCAAGTACCTAAACATAATAAAGGCCATATATGACAAACCTACAGCCAACATCATACATGATGGTGAGAAGCTGAAAGCCTTTCTTTTAAGATCAGGAACAAGACAAGGATGGGATGTCCACTCTCTCCACTATTATTCAACATAGTCCTGAAGGTGCTCACCACAGCAATCAGACAACACAAAGAAATAAAAGGCATCCAGACTGGCAAGGAAGAAGTTAAACTGTCACTGCTTGCAGATGACATGATACTGTACATAAAAAACTCTGAAGACTCTACTCTAAAACTACTAAGATCTAATATCTGAATTCAGCAAAGTTGCAGAATACAAAATTAATACACAGAAATCTGTTGCATTACTATACACTAACGATTAACTAGTAGAGGGAGAAATCAGAAAAACAATTCCATTCACAGTTGTATCAAAAAGAATAAAATACTTAGGAATAAACCTAACCAAGGAAGTGAAAGGGCTATACTTTGAAAACTACAAGACACTTATGAGAGAAATTAAAGAAGATATCAATAAATGGAAACACATCCCCTGCTCATGGATAGGAAGAATTAATATTGTTGAAGTGGCCATCCTGCCAAAAGCAATCCACAGATTTAATGTGATTGCTATCAAAATACCAACAGCATTCTTTAATGAGCTAGAGCACATCATTCTAAAATTCATATGGAACCACAAAAGACCCTGAATAGCCAAAGCAATCCTGAGAAGGAAGAATAAAGCTAGGGGGATTACACTCCCCAACTTCAAGCTCTACTACAAAGCCACAGTAATCAAGACAATTTGGTATTGGCACAAAAACAGAATAATAGACCAATGGAACAGACTAGAGAGCCCAGATGTAAATCCAACCATATATGGTCAATTAGTATACAATAAAGGAGCCATGGATATACAATGGGGAAATGACAGCCTCTTCAACAAGTGGTGTTGACAAAACTGGACAGTAACATGTAAGAGAATGAAACTGTATTACTGTTTAACCCCATACACAAAAGTAAACTCGAAATGGATCAAAGAACTGAATGTAAGTCATGAAACCATAAAACTCTTAGAAGAAAACATAGGCAAAAATCTCCTGAATATAAGCATGAGCAACTTCTTTCTGAATGCATCTCCTCAAACAAGGGAAACAAAAGCAAAAATGACCACATGGCACTGCATCAAACTAAAAAGTTTCTGTATGGCAAAGGACACCATCAACAGAACAAAAAGGCATCCTACAGTATGGGAGAACATATTTGTAAACAACATATCCAACAAGGGGTTAACATCCAAAATATATAAAGAACTCACACGCCTGAAAACCCAAAATGCAAATAACCCAATTAAAAAATGGGCAGAGGATATGAAGAGATAATTCTCCAAAGAAGAAATTCAGATGGCCAACCGATGCATGAAAAGATGCTCCATATCACTAATCATCAGGGAAATGCAAATAAAAACTACAATGAGATTATCACCTCACACCAGTTAGGATGGCCAACACTGAAAAGACTAAGAACAACAAATGCTGTTGAGGATGCAGAGAAAGGGGAACCCTCCTACACTGCTGGTGGGAATGTAAGGTAGTTCAACCATTGTGGAAAGCAATATGGAGGTTCCTCAAAAAACTAAAAATAGAAATACCATTTGACCCGGGAATCCCACTCCTTGGAATTCACCCAAAGAATACAAGTTCTCAGATTCAAAAAGACATATGCACCCATATGTTTATTGCAGCACTATTTACAATAGCCAAGATAAGGAAGCAACTTACTTAAGTAAGTGCCCATCAGTAGATGAATGGATAAAGAAGAGGTGGTACATATACACAATGGAATATTATTCAGCCATAAGAAAGAAACAAATCCTACCATTTGCAACAACATGGATGGAGCTGGAGGATATTATGCTCAGTGAAATAAACCAGGCGGAGAAAGACAAGTGCCAAATGATTTCCCTCATTTATGGAGTATAACAACGAAGCAAAACTGAAGGAACAAAACAGCAGCAGACTCACAGACTCCAAGAAGGGACTAGCTAGCGGTTACCAAAGGGGTGTGGTGTGGATGGGTGGGTCAGGAGGGAAGAAGATGGGGATTGAGGGGTTTATGTTTAGTACACATTGTGTGAGGGTTTAGGGGGTAACAGTGTAGCACAGAAAAGGCAAATAGTGTTTCTGTGGCATCTTGCTGCACTGATGGACAGTGACTGCAATGGGGTATGGGTGGGGACTTGATAATATGGGTAAATGTAGTAACCACATTTTTTTTTCATGTGAAACCTTCATAAGAGTGTATGTCATTAATATCTTAATAAAAACTTTAAAAAACAAACATACAGTAGAGACCAAAGTCAAAACAAACAAACAAACAAAGAAATAAATAAATTCCTAGGCACCATCCAAGACCTATGGAATCTCAGTCGCTGGTGGTGGAATCAAGAGATCTACATTTTAATAGCTCTCCCAAGAAATCTTGCCAAAATGAGCTAATATTTACAAGACTTTTCTTTCAATAGTCTCATTTATTAACTGATATACAAAGTGAAGATTGAATGACTTTTGGTCATGCAAGGAAATTTGATGGCCGTATTTTGAAAAAAAAAATTGCTGAGTTTGGAGACTGTGTAGGATTGTAAGTTACTCAGCCAAAGACTTCTAAAGCACAGAGTAAAATTTTACATAATTTCATAATGCTTAGAAAACAAAGTCTTACTAGAAGGATGTGGCCTGCCTCACACACATTCAGTCTCCCTCTCAAGACATGTGCCAGATTTCAGTGCTGAAGAGTGTGGTAAGCTAAGGACAAGTTCAATACCTCTGAAAAGCTGCTTGATCTAATTTAGAAATTTTTTTTGGCAATAGTAAACGAAGAACTTATACCCTATGACTGAGCAATTCCAATCCTGTCTATATTTTCATCAGGAATTATTGCGTAAGGCCATCAAAGACATGCACCAAAATGTTCATAGTTGCTTTCAGAACAGCCTCAAACTGTAAACAACCCAAAGAGATAAACTGGGTTGTACTAATCAACAATGAAAAAGAAAACAGACCTTCCTCAATTTATGTTGGATTACAGCCCCATAAACCCATCTGAAGTTGAAAATATTTTAAGTTGAAAATACATTTAATACATTAAACTTCATAGCTTAGTCTAGCGCACCTTAAACATGCTCAGAACACTTACATTAGCCTATAATTGGGCAAATTATCTAACATAGTCTATTTTAATTATAACTTACATAATTATAAATTATAATTTAAATTTATATTTATAAAATTATGAAAAGCTGAATAGCTCATGTAATTTATTTAATACGGTACTCAAAGTAAAAAACAGAATGGCTCTCTGGGCATAGAAAGGTTGTAAGTGTATGGATCGTTGACCCTTGTGATCAGCAGCTGGCTGACTGGGAACTTGCAGGTTGAGGCCACAGCCCCGCTTCAGCAGAGAGTAACTTACCCGATATTTCCCCTGGGGGAAAAGGTCATAGTTCAAAATTCAAAGTAGTGTTTCTACAGAATGCACATTGCTTTCCCACCATCATAAAGTCGAATCATCCTAAATTGAGGACTGTCTGTATTGTGTGTGTTTCTCGCTCTCCGTCCCTCCTGCTGCTGTTGCTAAGGAATCATCAAGATCGGTTCCTGAGGACTAGGGAAAACGAAAAGGGAAGTAGGCTAAGAGGTAGAAAAGTTCTTTCCCCCCATGGTGAAGCCTAGGTACCCTGCTATTGGAGAAAACAAAATACTAAAGATAATTTCCAAGAGAAAATAAGAAATGGTTTTCTACTAAACAGCACGTTGTACTATATAGCGTATGGAAAATTTTTAGCCTTCCGATGAAACTTACAAAACAAAAAAAAGAGCCAGATAGTAAAAGACAGTAGTGTTCCAAAATAGATGAACCTAATTAATTCAGAATATTTTTCTTCCACAATGTGTGAGTCCCCAAATTTAGAGAAAGTAACCCACGCTGAGTAATTATTTTTAAGAATTAATTTCAACAAATAACGTACTGCCAGTTTTTTCTCGGCCGGCTCGCGGAGCAGCCGCGTGACCCCGCCCCGCCCCCGTAGCGACCGGCCGGCGCGACGGCCTCGGCGTCTCTATGGCAACAGCCCCACTTCCGCGCAGTCGGGACCACCATGGCTGCCGGGCAGCCCGGCGACCTGGGCGGCTATTACTTCAGATTCCTGCCCCAGAAAACTTTCCAGTCCCTGAGCTCCCGGGAGAGCACGGCCCGGCTGCGCCAGTGGTGAGGGGCCGAGGGGGCCTGGCCTTCGCGGCGGCGGCGGGGCCCGAGTGGCTGCGTCCCGAGTGAAGCCCGAGGCCGCAGGGACGGGCGCGGGGCGGCGGCGGGGCGGGACTGGTGGAACGCGCTCGTCGGGGGTGCCGTGCCCGTGCTGACTGACGCTTTCCCTCCTCGGCCCCAGGTCCATGCTGGGCAGAATCCAGGCGCAGGCGTTCGGGTTCGACGAGACGTTCCGGGCTTATCGGAAGGACGAGTTCGTCATGGTCGGTAATGGGGAGTGCAGAGTCCCGGGGTCTCCGCCGAGTGTAGAGCTTTTCCCGCCTCGGCGAAGATTATTGTGAACACGCCGTTATTTAATGACGTCGTTTTCTTTGAATTTAATAGTAATAAAGAGAGAAACGATACATTTTAAAAGGAACTTTTCCACTTCCCTTCACCATAACTTAGCTCATCTTCAGTATCCTGCCGAAAAGAACTTTTCAGTTCTGGAAAGTCGGTCTCTTTCCAGAGAATCAGTCTCTCTTTTAATAGGCACATCTCATCTTTTAATATTATTACCCAGTTTCACCACTAGCTTTATTTACTAGGCATAGCTTCATATTACTTTTGGTTGTTTCTCGAAATCAAATCTACCCTGTGATAACAGGCTCAAACAGCAGTTCCAAATGAGGAATTCTACAAAGTTTTAAACAATAGCAGAGTTGTGGGAATTAGTCTAGCTGCTAGAAGTGACTGCTTTTAAGAGAGAAAAACTCCCTTGAAAATACAAGTTCTGGTGCATTCATTAAAATTCAGTCACATTATTTTAAATCCTGGTGGTCGATTTTCTCCTCTTATGAAATGGAAAGTATTGTTATGGTCTGTGATACTATTTTTGCCGTTCACGTCCTTCAGGTCTGAATACACTGTAGTGTACAGTTGGCATAGATTATCACTCAGTCCCAAACACTTCCTGAGGGCCTACCACCTGCTAGGAATTCAGTCAAGTGCTGGGGATACAAGAAGGAACGAGACAGGACCCTGGCTTTCAAAGATCTTACGGGAGTGGCAAGAATGCTAGTAAAAAAAATCAGATCATCTCATACAGAGTGATAAGTGCAGTGAAGAAAATAATAGCCTAATTTATAAACTGGAATATTTACTGTGAGGATATATTTGTGTCCCAGGGCTGCTGTAGCAAAATACCACAAACTGGGTGGCTTAAAACAACAGAAATGTATTGTCTCACGGTTCTGGAGGCTAGAAATCCAATATCAAGGTGGATGCAGAGTTAAGCAACCTCTGAAATCTGTGGGGATTAATCTTTGCTTACCTCTTTGTTGCTCCTAGTAGTTGCCCTGGTTTACAGCTTAAATCTCTACCCTGTCGAAGTCACTCAGCTGTCTGCCTTCATGTGTCCAGGTCTCTTCTCTTCACTAGTCACTCTGAATTAAGGGCTCACCTTAACTCCCAAATAACCTTGTTTTAACTAATTGCATCTGCAACAACCCTATTTCCAAGAACTAAGGTCATTTTCTGAGGTTCCAGGAAGGCCGTGACTTTTGAGAGGGATACTATTCAACCCTTATCACAGGGTAAATTAGTTAAATGTCTTTTTTTTCCTTTCCCAAGATAGTGGTGTAATGTTAATATTATATACTGTTAATGACATTTCTCAAATACTCATGGTTAGATTCTTATAGTTTCTTGTATTTTTTTACTTATACCAGTAATGGCTCTCAAATTAATAATGTTAAAAAAAAGATTAGGACTCTTAATTCACTGAATTTCAGAGTGCTGTAAAATTTTTGATATGTCATTTGTTCAGTAATATTTGTTGAATACTTACTATGACCCCGCCACCAGAGTGGTGGTTAAAAGATGAATAGACCTGATCCTAGCTTTTGAGGCATGTGCAGTTTTGGAAACTAATGTAGGAATGTCTCTACAACACAATAAGTGCTGTAATACAGGATATGTAAGGTGCCCTAGGCACAGGGAAAAAGATCACCCTATGGAGAAACATTGGTGTTGGGAAAAATTTCCTGGAGAAGGGTGGAGGATTAATTTGGGTTGTTTAATAGATAAGAGTACTTCAGATTGAAATTCATCCGTTAAGCACAACAAATTTCCATAATACAGGCAATATTTTTTCTAGTTTTCAAGGTCTTCATATTTGTTTATCCTAATTTTTTTCCCTGTGAGGTGAGTGTGTTATTCCTGTATTTCAAATCAAAGAAATATACTCATATATTCATTGTTTTTCCTCATGTAACTCATTTGGAGGACATAAAGCCTTGTGGCTAAGAGCACAGTCCAGAGGAGATTTTTACCTTGAAGCTAATGAGTCTTCAGGGCCCCTCACTAGCTCAAACTCCTCACTGACAGAAACCTGTTTGAAGGAACTCTAAGAGATGCTAGCAGTATGTTCATATACTCATATGCTTTTGAAATTTTTCAAAAATAGATGCTTCTGTGTTCTTAGAGCCCCTAAAATTATATACACTTAGTAACATCCCTACAAAATCTGGATCCTTCCCCGTTTTGGCCTCTAGTTATGTCTGAATTCCAGCTCTGCCACTCACAAACTATGTAACATTAAGCAGGTTACTTAACCTTCCTCAGTCTGTTTATTTTTGTGCAAAATGATCACACTGCTTGACATATAAGTATTTTTTATATAAAAATAATGCTTAATATCAGATGGGCTTGTTATGAAAATTAAGGGAAGTAATATATATGAAATATTTAGCAAAATGCCTGGCTCATCATGAGTGCTATTGTTGTCGTTAACATTTGTATACTAATTTACAGAGTGTTTTTCCATAGCAGTAGTCATTCCTGTGTACCGGATTTAGCTTTCAGCATTTTTTATACATTTATCTTAATCTTTACAACAATCTGATAAGTTTGGTGTTTTGACTACCGGTTTACACCTGAGGAGACTGAAGCTTAGAATGGTTAGATAATATGTGCAAGGATGCCTAGCAAATGGCAGAACCCAGGCCTTTTGAGTCAAACTTGTATGTCATTTCCACTACAAAGATTCATAACCGAACAAAGGGTATTACTTAAACTAGAATTCCAGATTTTGAATTTTCCCTTTCAATTTAAAAATAGCTTACATTCCAAAAGTTCATTATTGAAGTAGTAAATGGATGGAAGAAAGGAAGGAAACATTCTCCTAGCAAACATTTCTTTAGCTCCTAGGTCTGTACAGATTGAACAAGAGGGAAATGGACCAAATGTGCATTGCAGAGTGAGAAGTGATATAAAACATACCATAGGCACAAGGTATTGTAGTGGCACAAAAGAAAAAGTGACTGTTTTTGACTTAGGTGGTCAGAGAAGGGTTTACAAAAGACTAGCCACGTGAGCTTAGAGCCTGAAAGATGAGTAGGAGTTTGTAAGGTCAACAAAGTTGGGGGATAATGTTAAACAGATAAGTGGGATGGTATTTTAGATCTTTTGTGGTGTGTAGAGGAGTTTGGGCTTTATCTCGCTAGTGAGGAGTCACTGAAAGGTTTTCAGCAAGACAGTAAAATTTTAAATACTAAGATCACCTTGGCAGAAGTTTTGAGGATGGATTCTTAGGACTGAGTCTGGAACAGTGAAACCAAATTGGAAACCATTGTCCTCCAGGAAGTATATTGTGATGTCCTGAATTAAGACGATACTGGCATGGCATGGACAATTGTCGAGGAGAGAAGCAGTACTCAAGGACTGACAAGATAATTGAAAGTAAGGCAGAGGGAGACATGTAGGATGACCAAGTTTCTGATTTGGTTGACTGAAGTGCAGATGATGCCATTAAATGCATAAAAAATGCAAAAGAATAGACAAGGAAAATGAGGTCTGTTCTAGGCATACCAAATTTAAGGTGCACCCAAGTGGCAATCCTACATAGTGGAATATAAGGTCTCACCTTGAGGCTCAAGAGAAAGCTCTGGGCTCTGTATACAATGTTGGCACCCTCACGGTGGAACTCAGGATAATGAGAGGAATCTTCCACATAAACTGCAAGGAAGCTCCTTAATTTTAGAGCTTTCCAGTAGATGTGTTGCACAACACTGCTGCATACATCTCATGATCTGCTTATCTCATGGCAACATACCATGGAGACTAGGAAGTACAGACTTAGGGGAGCACATTGCTGTCCCAGTAATATTGGGATTTCTTATGGAAGAAGGAGAGAATATTGGATCAGAAACCAGCAGGCTTTTAGATAGATCTACTTATATTTCATATGTGTAGCATAAAAAATACATTTTAAATTACATATTTAGAACTACTTTTTCCAATCTCAACATTTTATGACAAATTTATTCAAATCTTTACATGCATTTTGACATCAGTATCTTTGTTATCACTGTGATTCGTCAATCATTAATATTTTTCCAAAGCCCATAAGCTTTCCTGAAGTTATTTGAGATACAGAGAATCTCCTAATGCGTAACTGGAAATTCTGTAATCCAAAATACCATTTGCACACAATAGGGCAGGGTTTTTTTTGTTTTGTTGTTTTAAATCATTCTCTAGATGTGTAATTGTAATCCCAATAATGTAACAACTGGCATATTGCTTTATTTGAAGGGCCTATTCACTACATGCCACTTAGCCTGCCTCCAATTATAGTGACATCTAAAATGTAGTTGTAAGTTGATATCCCCCAGGAATAATTACTAAATCTGAGTTAAATTTTCCCTTATACTGATTCTTTCAGTAGACGTCTAAAAAGCATTCAAAACCAGTGGTAATGGAGGTTAATTCTAGCTTATGTCTTTTCAAAATGTTTATTATATAATTTAAAATAGTTGCAAAAACACTCTTTAATTGAAAGACTTTGTAAGGTACTAGGAAACTTTCTTTTTCTCTGAGGAATAATTTGGGTGAAAAATTGTTTTTTTGTAATTGGGGTTCTGTAATACTTGTAAAGTGTGTACCTTTATCTTCCACTACTACAACATAAACTCCGTGGGAACAGGGACTTTTGCTTGGCATAATGTAGACATTCGTAAATACCTGTTGAATGTATTGCTTTTCACCCCACACACTTGGTGGTCTTCTTCACTGTTTGCTTTCTCATCAAATGACATTCATTCTGCCTGATTTTTCATGCAAAATTCCAGACATCAACTTTTGATTCCTCCTCCTCGATATTCATTGAATCCATCCACTTCTCTACCTCCACACTTGCTACCATCTTGACTGATGTGACCATCAAATCTCCCTGGAATACAGCAGTACCTTCCCTCCTAACCATTCTCTTTATAGCCCTTCAGTTCATTCTCCACACCACAGCTAGAATGAACTTTTAAAAATATGACTAATCATATCTTCCCTCTGCTTAAGTACCTTCATTGTCTTCCTACTGCCTTAGATCAAAATACTGATCAATCTAGGTCAATCTTCTATCAAGATCAAAATTTTTGTCTTTGACCTATAATGTCCAGTTTAACTCCCCAGCCTCATTCAACCATTGCCCCTTTTGACTCTGGACATACTGAACCTCTTTAATTTCTTTGAATAGGATGCTCCCTTTTTCCTCACCTTATAAACTTTAAACTTGCCATTTTCTCCACCTTAAAAATAGTCTTTCCAGTGTCATGCTGGAGCCTATTCAGGACTGCCTCAGTGCTCAATTTTCAGGAATCTTTGTGTGCTGGTTGTTAAACTATTGGCAACTTGAAATCCACCATGGAATTCAGCAAATGTTACAAATCAGTGCTTTGTTGAAAGGGAGGATATCAGTTATTAAACATTTACTAAAGTACCCCTTTGCCTCACTAACTCCTGCTCTGTTTCAGATCCCAACCTAAGTGTTCTTTCTTCATTAACCTTTCTTCCCAACACAGATTAGATCTGCCTATTACATGCTTCATTAGCATCCTGCACTTTTTATAATACTCATGACATTATTTAATATCTCCCCTTTCAGTCTGTAAGTTCATGAGAGCAGAGACTGTGTCCATTTGATTTTGAAATTAGAAGTCAAGTGTACTTTTAGTTGAGTGATGGCGGCAGGAGCCAGGTACAGAAGAATAACTGGTAAAGAAGTAAAGCAGATTCTTCTTTCAAGAAGCTATTTAGGAAAAGAGTGTTAGTTTGAAGGGAATGTTGAAATAAGAGAAATACTGCAAAAACTAAACAATAAAGAATAATTCATAGAGTCAGCAATCTTTCTCTATCCCAATCCAATCCTACCCCCTGCCTTTTCAGACCCCTTCTTTCCATAAACCTACAGCTACCATTTCTGAGAGAACTGTTTGGTATATATTCTTCCATTCTTTTCTTTATGTTCATATAAATTAAGGTTTTATTTTATCATACACATAATCTTTTTCTACTCAAAACATGGTTTTCTTCTGAAGTTAATACAGTAGATGTTTATTGAATAACTACTAGGGGATATAGAAGTGATTAAGAAAAACAAGGCCCCTGCTCTTATGTAGTTTATTTTAATTGTCTTGTTTTTTTTCAATAACTACATACCATCTAGTGTAGATGTACTGTATTTTATTCAACCATTCTTCTACTGATGGTAATTGAAGTTTCCAGGTTTTGACACTACAAATAATAATATTAAAAAGTCCTTATACACAAGTCTTATCTACTGGTGGTTTCATTTCTATAAGCCATATTCCCAAAAGTGGAGTTTGTTGGATCATGAGATACACATATTTTTAATGTTCAAGATTCTATATCCAATTACTTTCCCAAAAGGTTGTAAAGATCCATACTTCCACCAATAGTGTATGAAAGTGCATACTTTCAATGAAAGCCTTAAAAATCTTGCTAATGTGATGAATAAAAGTGATATCTTCTGGTTTTTATTTTAATTTCTGTCACTTCTTGAATTAAACATCTCATAAGTTTATTGGCTATTTATATTTTTTACACAACTTTTTTTATGCTTTCCCCATGTTTAAATTAGGTTGTCAGGTTATTTTTATCAAAAATATTTTTCTTTTAACCATTGAGAATGTTAGTCCCTACCCCCCACCCCAACCACACTTTAAATCATATTCGTTGTAACTATTAACTCCCATCTATTGTTTTTCTTATATTTTATTGCTCTTCATGGAGAAACGTGATTTGGTGGTAATTTCCACCCTTCATTTAAGGAAGTCCAAAGTGGGACCCAAAACGCTTGGCTCTCTTGTACTCGGAGCCCAGACCCTGGGATCTAGGTTTTCCCAAGAGACTTACCAGTGCAGGACTGGGATTTCAAAGTGAACAACTCAAGAGGTGCATATGGAATCCATTTCACTGGCAAAAGTGATGGTAGAGGTGTCCAGCTTTCAGGCAGGGCAGCCCTGGCACAGCTGTGGCCTTGATGAGGAAGGGATGCTGGTCACTTCCTTTAGTATTTGATGGGGCTGCAGCAAGGATAAATGTTTCCTCATCAGGGAAGTTATTGCATATGATTTTGGATTGTTCCCAGGGCCCAGCTGTTAGCCTGATTCTCTCCACCTCCTGAAAATTATGTGGACTGCCTGAGGTACTTTTAATAAGTTTCTTGTCTGATCTTTTCAACCAGAGTCACCTGCTGGAACTAAAACTCTTGGCTATTTTCGTTTTCCATTCAGAAAATTTTCATTTTTATGAAGCCAAACCTGTTACTTTTCTATGTGCCCTTTGGATAGAATTAAATTGATGGTTACTTTAAATTTAGGTGTAATCAGGAGCAGTAGGAGTCCTGATTAATAAAACATAATTTGAAAAATAAGATTGAAGGAAAACAAGTATTTCAAATATTATATAACCTCCTACATTTCACTATAAACCACCATTTTCTATTTAAGGTCCAAAAATATCTACTGTATATCTACTTTATCTACTTGGATGTACAGTGTTCGTACTGTTCCAACTTTTAATAACAAAACTTCATTTCTTTATAAAGTATATATTACTTTACTTTTTAATTTATTTTGTATTCATGATTTACTTTTTTATTTATTTTTATTTATTACTTAGATATTTACAGTTTAAAATTATCTTTCCTTATTTGAATTAAATGAGATTTTATTAGACTTACTAAAAATTAATTCTTATTGTTTATAATAAAGTATCTAACTTGTTCCCTCAAATTTGTATTTTAGGCTTTTTTCAAAGACCCAAATGTTATTCCCAATTTGAAGTTACTTTCAGATTCTTCTGGACAATGGATTACATTAGGTAAATAAAATTTATTTGCATCTTTTCAGATGACTGTTTTACTATTAAAACAAAACTTTGCCTCAGGAATTTTCATTATTTAAATACAAATTGTGAATAATGACTAAACTGATAACATCAAGGTCAAATATAATCAGATGTGCCAGTCCAGGCCTACATCTTTCTCCTGGGAATCCGCTGCTACTATCCTAGCTTAGCACACAAGAGCAATTGTTCCTTCTTTTCATTCATTTGGAAAGTATTTATTGTCCTCCTTTCCTGGACTCTGCCAGATGCAGGGAACATTAAGATGAATAAGAGAAAACCTGTACTCAAGGAACTGGTTGATATGTAAAAAGCAAATATGTACAATAATGTATCACAGCTGCTGTCATAGCAGTGGGAGCAAAAGGAGGGGAATAGTCCATTCTACTTAAGGAAAAAGGGTCAGGTTCGATTCTACTGATGTGAGGATGCTTGGGCAAAATCTCAGTGAGCGCAGGGGAATGAAGCCACCATGGAACATTCATAAAATAATACTATATTAAATCATGGAGGCAAGAGTCTTAAATTCTCAAAAGAAGAACTTTATACAGATATTTTCATAGTACATTGACACACAGGTAGAAATCTAAAGAAAAATAACCAAACACACTTAATCACTTAATAATATTCAAATCTCTTAAATAACTCTCAAGTCAAGGAATAAACTAGAGAGTTGATAGAAGACTATTTTGAAAACAAAAACATGAGTACTATATTTCACATTTTAGATTGAGGCCTCTTAACAATAGAACAGATCATCATTCCCTTTAGAAGGAGAATATGGTTGGTAATGTAGATTTCTGCTCAACAAGCTGATTTTAAATTAGGTGGGGTTTTGCTAAATTCTTACATTGAATTTTCATGGAATTCTAGTAGACTTACACAAAAATAAAAAATTAGTCAAGATGAAGATTACATTCATAATGATAGGCTTAGTAGGTCAGATTTTATTGGTTCTGGCTAAAGACCACTACAAAATTTATAGAGCAAAAAGCTGGTATAAGATCTTCAGACTACTTACAAAGTTAAACTGCGTATCTGAACAAATATATTTACCAGTTCAAAATCTTAAAAAATAACTAGAGTCATGTATCACAGTGTTTATAAAATATGTTTACAGTAACTTCACTCAGTTAATTTACAGAAAATAAGGTTCATTGAAAAAGTATCCAAATTCCCCATATTGGTACATACTTCACAAAATAACACTGACGTTTTTCTGATTTTTGAACAAAGCTTTGCAGTAAGAGAGCTTCTAAAATTCCACATGTGCCTGACAGGATCAATTAGAAGTACACTGGAAAACAGGGTAGAAGAGGTAGCATGCCATTTCAGAAACAAGTTTCTAGTGGATTACTAGCACTCCTCCATTAGCTTTTTTTTTTTTTATCTCTTCCTACTTGCTTTTCTTCTTTTTCTAATATATCGGCCATCTTCTCTCTAATTTTGCTTTGGGGGCCTTTTTAAGCAAAAGAAGTGGCTTTAAAAATGAGAAAAATGACATTTTAGAAAGTGAACCAGTCTCAAAGAGAGTGATGATGGAGCCTCGTTTACCACTGGCTGCACTGCCGCCATTACCAGTTGTTGGTGCTGCTTCGTCTTCTCGGCCAGCTGCCATAGTCCCCTTCATTTAGACACACTTTGTCATTTTTCGGCTAACATAAATGGTTATTTCCTATGTGCATTATACATATTACCTCCTATTACTCTCAGAACAGCTCTGTGAAAGGTTCTGTTATATAGCCCTGTTTCACAAATGAGGAGTCAGAGGCATGAGCTAAGTAATTTGCAGTTTTACACAGCTGACCATATGGAGCTGCGATTAAAAGCCAGGCTCCAGATTTCAAGACCTTGACCACTACACCATCCTGCCTGTACTACTTCCACATTAGCAAAGTTGCCTGAAAAGTACCAACTTGGATACCAAATATAAAGGAAATATCTTGCATATTATAATCCTTATATCAAGAAGAAAAAAATATATTCTTAACTTTCTGTGTGATCATAATGATGCATTGTATATCTTATAAATGTTGGAGACATAATTTAATCAAATACCTGTACAACACTTAGTTTGTGCTATGGACTGAATTGTGTCCCACAACCAATTCTTAGACTAAAGGCTTACCCCCCACTGTGATAATATTTGAAGATGATTGGAAGATAATTAGGTTTAAATAAAGTTCTGAGGGGCTCTCATGATGGGATTAGTGCCCTTATAAGAAGAGGAGGGAGATTATCAGAGCTCTCCACTGTGTACAGTCAACACAGCTACAGGCAGCTGTCTGCACACTAGAAAGAGTCTTCACTAGGAACTGAATCGTTTGGCTCCTTGATCTTAGACTTCCCAGGCTCTAGAACTGTGAGAAATAAAGGTCCATTGTTTAAACCACCTAAACTATGGTATTTTGTGAAAGCATCCCAAGCAGACTAATACAGATTTTAGTACCAAGAGGTGGAGTGCTCCTGTGATAAATACCTAAAAATGTGGAAGTGGCCTTGAAACTGTGTAATGGGCACAGGCTGGGAGAGTTTTGAGGTACATGCTAGAAATATGGATGTTAACATTGATTCTGGTGAAGTCTCAGATTGAAGTGAGGAGCATGTTACTGGAAACTGAAGGAAAGGCAATCCTTGTTATAAAAAGAGAACTTGGCTGAACTGTGTTCTAATGTTTTATGGAAGGTCAAACTTGCAAATAATAAAATTAGATGTTTAGCTGTGGAGATTCCTAGCAAAGAGTTGAAGGAATGACTTGGTTCCTCCTGAATGCTTACAGTAAAATATAAAAGGAAAGAGATGAATTGAGGAAGGAATTGTTAAACAAAAAGGAATCAGAACTTGAAGATTTGGAAAATTCTCAACCCATTCATATTGCAAGAGAAAGCTTGTTCTGAAGAGAACATACGAATGGGGCTGAGCAACTATTTGATAGAGATTATGGGCACAACTCATGGACTTGATCAGCCATTTCAGCAGAAGCCGGGTGTACAGATGGGATCGTACCAGCAAAAACGCTGCCAGTTTGAACTAAAGGGAACGGAAAAAAACAAGATGAAATCAAAGCTGTCGGACTTCTTAGATCCTACAGAACCAACCAGAGTCATTTGTCCACAAACATGCATTATTCTCCAAGAAAAGAAGACTGAAAAAGGCAGTTCAGAGATTGTCAGGGCCATCCCCTCCGTATCAGCAACACCCTACATCTTTCGGGGAGAGTCTCGGCGGCAAGGCCGTAGCCCCCGTGAGTCTGGAGGGTAGAGCACTGAACCAAAGAGGTTTATACTTGAGGCTTGAAGTCTAATGCGATTTGCCTTACTAAGTTTTAGGCTTGCTTAGCACCAACACCCTTTCCTTCTTTCCTGTTCTCCCTTTTGAGATGAAAACATCTACCCTATGCCTATCTTACCATTGTATTTTGGAAGCACGTGACTTGTCTGACATCACAGGTCCATAGCTGAATAGAAATTTTGCCTTAGGATGAGTTGGACTTCAAGTCTCACCCATACTTGAGACTTTGGACATTAGACTTTAGAGTTGATGCTGGGATGAGTTAAGACTTGAGGGGCTATTAGTGCAAAATAAATGTATTTCATATGAAAAGGACATGAATTTAAGGAGCCAAGGGCAGAATGCTATGGACTGAATTTTGCCTTTTCAAAATTCATATTTCTCTTTGGACAATGAGCAACCCTAAGGCAGAGGTCAGACCAGGTTGGGTCTCATTCAAATGTCTGATGAATGGAAAAAAAAGGAGAGACTTCGGCATGAATTTTGAGGAACACAATTCAGTCCATAGCAAATGCTATTTCTTTGCCTGAGATAAAGTGGTTTGAATTTAATTACCTTCTCTCACCATCCACACCCTCTTGTGTGTGTGACTCCCCAAATCAGAGCCAGTGTAGTTTTATGAAAATGGCATGTTGTCCAGTGTCAGTTCCTCATCCTCAGCCATCAACCCACCTTCATAGACTGGCTGGCTTTACTCTTGTTCCTTGGTCTTCAGTATTGCTCAGATCTGCTCTGTTGTCATCTGTGCTCTTTCCCCTTTAATCCTCTAGAGGATTTTTTTGTCTGAAACCAGGTTTTCATAGTAGTTTAGATTTTGAAATTACTGAGTCACATACAGTTCCTATCTCCAGACATCCTTCTTGCCTCCACACTAGTCCAGCTCAGTATCAGAATGAGAATAACAGGTCCCAGCAGGACTCTGAGGTGGCCGGGTGGGAGGACAGCAAGAAGGAGGAAGTGTGAATAATCATCAGTATTTTCTCAAGCTTAAGTTACTTCTCAGGTCAAAGATACAGCAAATACATGGGAGAGGACACACCAAGGACTACTATGCCTGGGTCTGCAACCTCCCTAGAACTTTCGGAAAAAAGAGCACCACCCCTTTATATCTGAGTGCCTGTATATATGTGGATGCATAACAGAGAGAGAAATTGAGTGATATGTTGAGGCAATAATAAAAATACTCACTTTAATCTTTTGTCTTTCTATAATTTAATAGAACCCCTGATAATGAGAAATTCATTCCTAAAAGACACATTCAGGAGATAAGTTTGGAGGCCGGGAGGAGTACAAGGGGAAGAACTAGAGCTACAAGAGAAAAACAGAAAAAATACCATGATTTTAAATTCCTCTAATTCCAAATTTGTGAAAACTTGATTAGGGCCTGGCTTGAAATTTACCTTGACTTGAAAAAAACCTTTTTTTGTAATAATCACTGTAAGTGGGATCACAAGGAAGAAATTTTCAAATAGAAACATTTTCAGAACACCCTCAAGGACTTTAGAACACCCATTACTTATATTAATTTAATTTAAACTTCTGTAATATGAATTATAAGACATTAAGCATAGTACAAATCCAAAATCATAAAAAACAATTGTTTTTGTAGGCAATTATGTAGATATATTAAAACTGATGTAAGAACCCTCCCACTAAACAAAAAATGTATTTCACTTTCAAGCATTTTCTAATTTCTGTATCCTCAATCTAAGCCTGAAATGATGAAATTTTGTTACAACGTTTAATAATAAAACATTAGCAAGCTGCAAAATAAGAACACAATAAAAATCCCCAAAGTTACCTGTCTTTTAAATATATCAAAACATGAATCATATTTCATTACTTCTTAGAATCTCTGCATAATGATACTTATTTTGGAAATAATTCAGAATATTAAATTTTTATCTTTTTAAAATATCTTTTTTTCAGGAACTGAAGTGAAAAAAATTAAAGCTATGAACGTTCCTTGCACACAGCTTTCAATGTCATTTTTTGATCGGTTATATGATGAAGATATTGTACGAGACAATGGACATATTGTTAAATGTTTAGATTCTTTTTGTGATCCCTTTCTGGTTTCTGATGAGTTAAGAAAAGTAAGTACAGAATTACAAAATTTCAAAATAGAATTTTATTTCATTAAATGCTTAATGTCACAACTTCTGCCTTCCTAAAATCCATAAAATACCTCTTATCAATGAGTAATGAGTAAAAAAAACCAATTACATTGGTAGATTTCTTGGATGGGACTATTACTGTCAACCTAATGATTTGTGTATATCAGTAGTTCTCTACTGGGCGGTTCTGGATCTAATGGGTAGAGGCCAGGGATGTTCCTAAACTTCATACAATGCTCAGGAAAGCCCCACACCACAAAGTTACCTGGCCCAGAATGTCAGTAGTGCTAAGATAGAAACACCTGACCTTTTTAACTGATGGCCGTTTTTCTTCAATATAGGGCTCTCAACTAATCAAATGAATGTTTTAAAATATCCCTGGAGTAAAGAAATCTTTTTATTTCATTTCTGAGATCAAAAAAGCCATTTGATAGTGAGAGGTGTACTGAACTTGTAATCAGGAGATTATTTACCTTTTTACCGAGTATTTACACAATAATAAAAACCTTAAGCAAATCATTCAATATCTTGAGCCTCAAGATCTTAACTGTACAACATGGAGATTAAAATACCCATTCTACTTTCTTCCCAAAATTGTTGAGAAGTGAAAAAGTATTTAAATGCACTTTTTTAAAAGTATGAAATACTGTTTAATTGAAGTTATTATTTAATTATTGAGAAAGAGTATTTGCAGAGTGGTTAAAAATGAGGGCTTTGGTATCGAATAGATAAAGGTTCAAATTCAGGCTCTGCCACTTAATAACTGCTACATAACCTAAGCCTCAGTTTCTTCATCTATAAAATATGAGTAATGTAGGAATTATGTGAGATCATGCATTAAAGGGCTTAGCACAATGACTGGCACTTAGTAAATTTTTGATAATATTAACAATGACTACTACTAATTACTATTATTCTACATTAAGAGAGAAGGGAAATGCACAAGCCTATTGTTTTGCAGATTCAGGTAGGAATGAGCTAGGGAAGTAACTGATGCATCATTCTGGATACAGGAATCTTGTCCATAGGAGACCAGGAGGCATCCAGCCAGTTTATACGTCAGTCTACATGAGTACAATACCTAAAGGAACACTTAGTTTAGAAGAAAATACAATTAGCTAATTGAGAATAACCAAACACACAATTGAATGAGATTATATTTATAGTTTGCTCCTTATTTAAATGAGTTGTATATTTATATATATATATACATGTATAATGCAATACTATAAACACTATACAATAAGGGATTTGATAATAATTTCTACTTCTTACCAAGAATTGGAAATTAACATGAAGAAAGTATCTGATCTAGCTGGGTCTCCCTACTTTCGGGTTGTTACTAATCTCAGCTCTTTTTATTGTCACTAATCTGTGCGGGCGTTATGTCTCAAGGCACTTACCCTTAATTTCAGAGAGCTCACTTCTACAAACAGAGCCTCAGTAATGGACTTTTTAAAAGAGGATTTTCTTTCCAACAAAATACTCCACAAAACTGCCTGCTGCTGCCTGTCTGATTTATTGCCATGAATAGCGCTTCTATTCGGGAAGTTCTGGGACTCAGTGTTTTTCTGCTAGATGCCTATATGTTTTCCTCTTGTATTCTTTGCCACTCTGTGGCAACAGAGAAGGTTTTAACTTGGCTGCTTTCTGGCTGAAATGAATAAGTAACGTCCAGCTTTAGCCTGAACTGAAAAGGGCCCCCTTTGTGCAGCAATACAGCTTCTGTTGGCACACTGTGTAATGTAAGTGCTGATGATAACCTCCTTCCTAACTGTGGCCCAGAACTTTGATTCATTAACTTTTGTATACCTACTCTCAGGGCTGTACAACTAAAGAGATCTGTATGTGAATGGAGAGGAAGATAAGCCAAATGTTCATTGTTCTAACATTTATTCTAAATTTTAAAAAATGTTTGTAGTTTTTAAAGTGCACAGGCTAATTAAGTTAATAATGAGAGTGCTTATGTAAAGAATGTGTTAACTCTTCATTCCTAAGGGCTTGAGTCTCCCTGTATTAAGCTAGATCTTTAGGTAGCTCTGAACTTGGGCTTCAGGATCACATCATGTCCTTACAGAGAGAGAAAGGGAAGGAAGGAAGGTGAGATGTGCAAGTGCTGGATGTGGCAGAACCAGAGAGCAATAAGCTACAGACCACTTCCCCTTACCTGTATTTCACTATGAATACTGGCTTTGATCACATCATTATAAGAAAACTATATATAGACAACACCATAGGGTCTATTATTTTTTAAAACTCCTCATATAATGACTCTGAGATTAATTTTCATTTGAGACTGGGATCAATAAAACAATCAATTTTCTGAAATAAGTGTACTGCTTGCTATTGGACAGAGATTATTATATAACTCATATTCCCTTCTTATCTATATGGTAGTGTTAATTGTTATGCACAGAATAGCTTTTCTCCATCTAGAGTTTGTTATGTATATTTTTCCACTTTAGTTCTCGGTCACCGTTTTTTGTTTTTTATTTTTTTTCTCTTAACCGTATCTGTATCGTGAGCTATTTCACATTGTTTTTTAAAGTAAGTGGAGTATATATAGTTCAGTATATATGTTGTGATGTACATTCATCACTTTGTTCATGATTGCAACAGTCAACAAATTAACCAGTTGTATGTAATACCCAGAGATAGAAGAAAATCCTCCACATCAGACTTAGTCTGTTTTCTGAAAGAGGTAGCAAAGTCTCAAGAGAGCAAGAGTCAATGTAGATTAGTGCTGTGTAAAGTGATATTATTAGAAGAGAACAGATAATGGAGAGGTGGTTATGAAGCTGCAGGTATCTGAATAGTTCAAAATGGAGTAATTATGGGGACAGGGAAAGTAGTGATCCAAATACTGTAAGGTGAGAGGATTTAGAATATTGACCATTTGTGTTTAGCCTCTGGATAGAAAGCTTTGAACATTATGGAAAGGAGAAGTTTCTCCATTTATTTACACTCCTGTTGGTAACAACTAAGATTTAAGGTGACTACACTAAAATTGCAGTAGCACTAAAACAATTACTAAAGATATAAGCTGGAACAAAGAAATAAAGCCGAAGAAGAGAAGAATTAGATTTAGATTTATTCCTTTCATTGAACATCAGTACCTAATAATAAAATGAAGGGAAAATAAGTGCAGGCCTCACAGATTACTCTCTCTATTTACCTCAGGATTGGTTTATAAAACAGATGTAAGATTATTATTGAAAATATAAATTGAATCTTTTGAAAACATAAAAATTAGAATTTTGAATTATGTTACATTAAGATGAATTTTATCATCTTACATAGGTTTTGCTAATGGAAGACTCAGAAAAATATGAAATATTCAGCCAACCAGATAGAGACGAGTTCCTGTTTTGTCTTTTCAAACATCTTTGCCTTGGTGGAGCCCTTTGTCAATATGAAGATGTGCTTAACCCATATCTGGAAACCACAAAGCTTATCTATAAGGATCTACTGAGGTAATGTTGCTAGATTACAATAGGTAAATCTCTGGTTATTCAATTATTTAACTATGGTGGGATTACCCAGCATTGTTTGAGGTCCTGTTAACAACCAGAGTGTGTAAAAATAGCACCACCCTGACCTCCTTCTCATAGCCACCTCCTTCTCTTCCAGGCTAGAAAATTTCTAGATTTCCCTGACCCTTTAGTGCTTAGTCCCCGCTTGTTCATCTGCCTCTTCTTATTTTTTCATTCAGACCTGTTACCCACCCCATCCCTTATTAGCAACTGCCATCTTCCTGGTCTCCCTTTTTATTCAGGCTGCATTTTAAATCTCAAGAGAACATGAGATACCTCAGGATGTTCAAATTTGCTTGAGTAATAGTAAAAAAAAAAATTACTAGTTTTGTCTTAAAGAGGTGGCAGAATTGTCATATAGGTGTAATATTTGCCTTTTAAAATTAATCCCAAATCCCAGTTTGTTTTAGGTATTACACCAAGGTTTTCTTCCTTCTTTTTAAGATCAAAGGAGGATAAAACTTCTCAGATTCATTATTTATACTTTTATCTAACTATAATGAATGTTCTTTGGTTGGATTTTTCAATGATAAAGATACTGGATCATCTTTATAGGCAAAGGGAATAGGAAAAAGTGAAAGCAAAGGGTCCCAGTGTTTAGTTATAAAATTTTACTTTAGCAACAGAATTAGCTTCTCATTGGACTCTTGAATGTTACATTTCTTATACTCAACACCTCAATTCTCACATCCATTCTATGTGTCATATAGCTGTACAACAACTATGATACAGTTAGTTTAGTTTATTTCTGATATGGTTTAAAAATTAAAATATTTCTATAATTGGTGTTGATTTTTATGAAAAAGTTACTGTGTCAGTATATGAAGATTGGAAGGAATATGCTAGGAACAGAACTTCATAAAAATTCCCTAAAATTTCAGAATTTCAGAAACAGCGTACACATTCGTACATCAAACATACTGTCCTTTGCGGCCCATGAAAACTTACAAGACTGCTTCTTGCACTCCCTGTAGATATTCTTCTGTACACTCTAGACACACACACTCACACATTCACACTGCTGCAACCGCAGAGTTATACTTCATCAGCCACATGAACCTGTGGAATTCCTCACTACCATGTGCTGTGGAGGAGGAGATTCTGTTGGAGATATCTGAAACAGAAATAACCTTAGTACCTACACATTGAAGAAACTGCTGTTTTTACCAGTATTCTCGTACCTGGATTCTCATCTGTGATTCCCTTCTATGCTCTTTGTTCGCTAATAAAAAGCATGACTCAAGGAGTAATGGCCACTTATAAAATGGGTAACCAAAATTCATGACATCTTAACAGAAAGAACAGGAATTGGGTCCATGCCATCACTTAAATAGGCAGCCAGCAAGTGTTAGTACTGCACACACAACTCTGCCAAGCTCTAAAGAGAGAGGAGGATCATCAGAAAGTCCTTGACCTTAAGAAAATCATGATAAAATAACATATTAAATAATAGTTGTTAAAAATCTCTTATAAGTAAATTTTTATATAATGTTTAATTATTCATAGGCAAATGTTTACATCTTTTTGTAGTCTAATAAATACTCCAGAAGTTCAGAAGAGGAAGTTGTCAGATTGGCTGTGGGCAGTCAGGGAAGTCTTGAGTGGAGTCCTCCAGGGCTGTCAGAGAGGGCGGTCTATTCCCACTTCCCGGAAGATGCATCACGAGTTTGTCACTAGAGGGGAGGCTAGGAAGGAGCCCAGTCCAATTACAGTATTACTTTGAAAACCATTAAATACTTGTCTCATGGCCCAAGTTTAACTGTGCTTATAAATTTCTTTACTGAATTGGAGGGGTGAGTGTATGAAATTGTTTTCCCAAAGCAACTTTAGTAGAAAATGATTAGAATGAACATTTGCTTAAGTTGGCTTAGGTGCAAACACAAAGCAATTGAATGGAGTAAATGATCGCAGAATCCCTCAAGAGCTATGTTGATTTCACATGCACTCCTTGCAGTTTTTCAAACATGAGTCATGCTGATTTTGGTCAAATGCTGTGCCATTTGGTTAAGATAAAGATGTAGAGGGTGGATCAATACAGCAATTATTAAGGAATATCTAAGTAGAGGAAGTATAGATGGAACTTGAGGTAATTAATTTCTCAGCACTAATTTCTCAGAAAGCTACGTATCTAATCAACTCATTTGTACAAGCCAGTTTAACCAAGAAGGACATTTTTTCCTGTTTCTTTACTTGAGTTTTGGACAAGCTTACATTCTTTAGGAAAAAGTGCTATCTTTCTAATTATACATGCAGTATCTGCTTTAAAGTATCTAACCTGCCCTTGCAGATAAACATCATCACTAATTCATTCTAACAACGAAGCCCTTGACTTACATTTGTAGACGTTGGAGGCATGTTGCAGATTTATTTAGTCTGGCACAAACAAAAGGGTAAAATGTTCTTAAGATATTTGCTCCCTCATCTATTATTACAAGTCCTATAAAAACACCCCTTAAATGTTTTGGAAAATGCCTTCTTTTCAAGGATTATGGTTCCTTTAAATAGCACAGAAAATACTTTAGAACCATCTTATCAATCATTACTCAGGGAGTAAATGATTATTTCATTACATTCAAAAACATCTATGCAGAAATAATTCTGTAGTTACTACTGCTGCCTTTGTCTTTTCGACTTTAGACATTGAACATGTGCTGTTGTCAAAGTTTTCAGAGAAGTTCCCCTAACTACATATCTGCCCCAGATGTGAAATTTTATGATTTAAGCTGAGAGGCTTAAGATCATGGCCTTTAGATGATAATTAAGCAGCCTGATTCTTATTTCTTAAAACTATCAGAGTTACCTAGAATGGTCTGTATACCACATTTGGAGTCAATATGGGACTGATCCTAGAAATTGGCACAAATGATAATTGACAAGAAACCATTCATTATCTTACTTCTAAACCATTAATGTAATCATACTTTTAAAAAGAACTTACAGAAATTATGTTCCAGCATCCTTAAAAACCATGGTTATCTGGAGAGTGAGTTAGTGACTGCTAAAAATCTGATACAGTGTAATAATTAGCAGCACATTCTAGGACACCAACAAGTACCACTTAACATTTTCTTTTCTTTTTTTCTTAAGAGATGTAAGATAGGTGATAGTGTATTTACTTGACCTATAAAAATCAGACAAATTGTTTTAAAGATATTTCAGAATAACAGTAATACAGGATCAGAGGTAATAAAATGGAATAATAGGATTTATTTATATTAGAAACCAACTTTTAAGAATGTACAAACAGTTTCTTTTTAAAATAATACACTTGTGGTGCATGTTAATATGTGTTAAGTGATTGTTAAATGAAGTATGTTAAATTTTATTTGATGAACACAAACTTTTACAAGGGTTTTTTTTTGTTTTTAGATTTTTTTTAACTGAGAGATACTTTATATACAGTAAAGTGAACAATTCATAGTATACATGCAGCTTGGTGAATTTTCATATATGTTTCCACCCATATAACCACCTCTAGATCTTGATTTAAAATTAGATATAACCGTAGATATGTTCTGTATATTGGTCTGGGTGGTTATTAGGTATATACTGATGTCTTATATGTAGTGCTTATAGTCATCCCTTAGATAAGCACAAAATGTTAAATGTAGTTTTCAACTTCGAAGTAGCACATCTTAGGTATTAGAGAAATAAAATTATCTCAACCTATATCATAGAAATATGGAAATCAGTTTAATTGTGTGATTCTGGGTTTAAATCTGAATTAAATGTTTTAAGAGATGAGAACTGCCTAAGAATCTTGAACCTTGAAATGGCTTTGATCCAGCTATTTGCAGTTAAGTGTAGAGGCTCAAACATGCACATATGCATGCACGTACACACAGTCCCTCCCACAAAGTCTACCTTCTTTGTCCTCTCTCTCTCCCTATTACTTTTACATAGGTAGTGAAAGAGAAGCAATACTTCACCAGTAAAATGAAGAAGAGGGATTTCTTCCTATAAGCTTAACCTACACATGTCAGACATGAATAATACTTTTGATGCATATGTATGTATAGAGTGTAGGTATAGGATAAACAGGAGGTATGTAGGTAAAGAGAATTAGACTGTATCACCTAGACTCTCTTCCCATAAATATCACTTTTAGTTGGAATGTCTTAAATGTATCATTTAACTTCCCCAGTTCTGTTATCTATAAGTTGCCAAAATAATGCCTGTCTCACTGAATTGTGTGATCTTTATATAAGGTAAAGTATATAAAGATATTTTGCAGATTATAAAGTCTTATAAATGTGATATGTATATATTTATGTATATATTAATATATAACTATCTGTAGCTGATTTCCTCAATCCTTAGATTACTTCCTCACTATATTTTGCCACAGATAATCTTTTGTGAGGGAATAACTGAGAGTTTCTAAGAGAAAATTATTTTAATATAATTTAGTAGTACATAATTTAACACATAGTTTTCATACACATTATCCACTTAATTCTCATATAAGAACTATAGTATGCCTAGTTTACATATGAGAAAATTGAGGTTCAGGAAGGGTTAATCTTGCCCAAAGTGAAATAACAAACTAGTGGCAAAACAGGCATTTGTGTTTGGGCTGTTTAATTCTTTAGTATGCTTTTATCTACCCCGTACAGCTGTCTTTTACACTTTAATCTGACTTTTACCGTCCTGGTTTTTCCAATAACTGTGTCTGGCCTGGGAGTTACGTGATCATCTCTCAGGCTGACCTCAGCCTTCTAACTAAAATTCAGGTTTCTGCATTTCAGTTCAGTTGACCTTGTTCCATGCTTGGATGAAACCACAGATGCCATCCTTCTCAAGCCACTTGGTTGGATATTATGTATTTCCGTTGTTGGATGTGAATGAGAACACCTGAATACTATACGGGATCCATATTTTAACAGCATTATGCTAATGCTTGTTATATTTTAAAAGTGTCCTTCTCTCCCCTATTGTAGTGTTCGAAAGAATCCTCAAACCAAGAAAATACAAATAACCTCTTCTATCTTTAAAGTCACAGCATATGTAAGTGTTAAGGGGAAATTTACAACCTATCGATTTAATTACTTGCTATTAAATAGAGTTGTTACAATGGAGTTAGCAACTAGTATGATGTTGTGCCTAGGAGAAAAGATGATGATACTTAGATTTTTATTAAAATAAAAACTTGATAAGGTATGCTTTAGTTGGAGAACAGTATGAACTTTTTTCCTCCTGGCTTCCTTTGTGTCATCTGTGTCTAGTTATACTCCTTCCTTATTTAAGAACTAAATCTGGAACCACTGTGTTGTATACCAATATAATGTTGTAAAACCAATATAAGATTGCATATCAATGATACTTCAATTAAAAAAGAATAAGACCTAAATCTGTGGCCAGATGAACCTTCTCAGATGAACTAGAGACAATAATTCATAGGGCCAATAAGTAAAATGCCATAAATGTCTTTGTATCACAGAATCTGATACTTTAATTTTAGTATACGAAAGATTATTAGCACATAGGAAGCAGTTTCTAAGTATATTCATTCAGTCACTTAACAAATATTTATTGAATATATACTGCATGTCAGCTACTGTGCTGGCCTAGGGCCCTTTTTGTTGATAAACAAAAGAAACATAGTCACTGCCCTCATAATATATACAGACCACGTTCTACAAGAAAGCAAAGTTGTTAGAAAATTATAAAGTAGTAATTTTTGCAATATTAACACTTTAAAAACACTTTTTCAAAAGATAAGATTTCCCTTTGAAATATAAATTCTTTAAGGTCAAGAATTGTGCATCTTTGTATATAGTACATATGTATTCTTAGAATAGTAGATGGCAGTCAGTATTTAATAATATTAACTAACTGCCAATTTATTATCAAAGATTCTGTGTGTTTAATGATTTTAACAGAAAATATATTAGTTAAATACATTGGTTATTATTTAAATGTATTTGTGTACTAATTTAAGTTTATCGTTTTCAGGATTCTAATGGTGTGTGCTACCCTTCAACAAAGAATCATGAACAGACATTTTCTTACTTTATTGTGGATCCTATCAAGCGTCATGTTCATGTTTTATACCACTGTTTTGGTGTGGGGGAAATGTCTTAACAATGTTCTTCCAGATGATCTATATTTATTGTTTTTTATTTATCATTTTTTATCTTAACATAAATATTTACAAGTTAATTTGAGTAAAATGTAAAAAAAAAACCTACTTAGAGCAGAAGCAAACAACAAGATGACTTTCTTTAAATTTGTCTGGAATACTAATGCAGGGACCAAATTTCTTCCCTAACATAATTTATACTAATACAGTGTGTAATTTTTACACAAAATTACAAAGAACTAAAAATCTAGTCCATATCTGCTGCATTAAGATTCAACTAAGTCTTTAATTTTCCAGGTATTTTATTTAGAAGTTAATTCTGGATTGAAATTGTAGCAGGAAATTTGACATCTCTACCAATCGTTAGTATGAATTATTAGCTTTTCAAATTTGAGTTTTAATTCCATTCCTTTGTACATAAAGATTTACATCTTGAGGGCTGTGAAAACAATTCCTTTGCTTCACTTGTCCCACTTAAAATCCTCAATAAAAAGATATTCTGGACCTTTGAAACTCTGAGTTATTTAATCTGTGGAAAATAAAACTTTGGAAAAGGGATCACCATGCTCCATCCAGGGCCCACTGCATCCAGAAACTGGAAAAACACCGTAAACAGACAAGCAGAGAGAAAGTTCCGCCAGCACGAGGAGCCAACCACCGCCGAGACCTTCCTGCCCAAGCACGCCTGCATCTCTGAGCCGAAGGCCGAGGTAGTGAGGAAGGACCGCAGAAGGAGGCTGACCCAGTCCAAGCTGGTGCCCGGAGCTGAGAGCACTGCCCACCCCCGGCCATCTCTGCAGGCTACCTGGGCCAGGAACCCCAGCAGGGCCCCGCCTCAGGCACATGGAGGCTGCGCTGCGGGAGCTCGGAGCCGGCCGGCCCCTGGTGCCCGTGACCGCAAAGGGTTCTACGAGAGAGGGCAGCGCCGGCCTTCCCGTGGCCACGGAGCAGGCGTCTGCCGGTGCGCGGACAGGCACGGGCTGCGCTGCGGCGTGGGGCGCGTCGCCGGGCGCTCTGGGCGCCGCACCGGCAGCAGCGGCAGCGCTGAGCGATGCACGCCCCGGCCTCCCCTCCAGCTCCTCCGTCCACCCCAAGACGCCGCTCCTTTCATCTCATCTGAAGGGGCAAGAAAATACGTATATCCGTCTATCTGAGGGAACTGAGGACCTCAGTCTCCAACAAGTTCCCAACTTTGAAAATGGCGGCAACTGAGATACGAAAGCTAACGAGGGCCCCCCTACCACACACACACCTTAAACAGCTTTGTTTTTAGGAACAAGTTTAATCGGAAGGGAAGACAGAAAAAGAAGAGACAGAGACGGAAAGCAAGCTCGTGTATAGAAGGGAGCGAAGGAGGGACAGGTTCTCCAAAGAACGCGGGCGGGAAGGAGTGGGCGCTGAGGTGTGGCCCGAGGTGCGCCCTCCACGGCCCGCTGGAAGTCTGCCGCCTCGGGTCGGTCCTGTGCGGAGAGAGGAAGAGGCGGGTCGCACCGCTCCTCGGCTTTCTGCCTCCTCCGGCCAGCAACCTGGACAGCGGGAGCCCTGCCGTTCCTCTCACCCCGCCAGATCTACAAAAACTAAAATGTGTTCCATTCCTCTCAAAACAAATTAGTAACTAAGTGATATTAGACAGATTTTCCTAAACATAAATATTGCATATGTGTGCTTATTTCATTCCCTGTGCAGACTTTTAGAAATTAATACATCCCCCAATAGTGGACAGACTTGTTCTTTCAGGGAGACTAAAACATGCTGAAGCGAGTGGTTTCAGCGCCTGGTTGCATTCAGTTCCCAACTAGCACAGCCTCTGGGGGAGGATAAGCTGAAAAAAATTAATGTGGGCTTTTATTTATCTACAGGCTCCATATAGTCATATATAAGCATATGATTCTATTTTATTTCCTATTTTTTCTTCCTTTCAAAGGTTTGCATTAACTTTTCAAAGTAGGTTATATAGGGGCATTTTCCTCATTCTGGGAAAATAAGAGAACCCATATGCTAACACAACCCATAACACCAGTTTGCCTGCTTCTCGTGAGCAGCAAACTCTTGGGAGTTTGTGGGGCACACTGTCGGATTGTTTCATGATTTTCCACATACGTCAAGTTCACTGAGCAGGTAGATGAGAGCACTCGGGGGCGCGCACCATGCCCCTCCAGCTCATCCCATTTCAGCCTTCAGACCCTCCAAAAGTAATTGTCTCTGAGTCCCACACTAAACAAACCCAAGTCCGAGTTTGAGTACTGGTCCCACTTACCCTTCCATTTCACCTGAGCAGAGCCTGCATTTCAGTCCACTCTGGCGGACCAGGGGAGAAACTGAAGGGAGAGCAAAGCAGGAGGAGATGGAGATGAAAAGAAAAAAAGAAAAAATACGTTCAGGCTAGAAGAGACGGAGGGAAGGGACAGAGGGCTGGAGGAATGGGGCTGATTGCCCCATTCTACTTTCAGAGCAAAGCAGCAGAAAGGAGGACACAGTCAAGAGAAACTTCTCTGGCTCCCCACTCACTAAGCACTCTGGGATGCAAGGGGAAGGAGGGAAATGGAGGAGGAGCATGTTAAGAGAGAAATGAGCTTACTCCAGGCTTTGGAGCTGGGGAAGGTGGATGATTTAAGGTGGGTTCTGGACTTGAGCAGCTGGATAGAAGCAAGGATCAGCAGAGACTGACCATGCTTTTGAAGAGACGACTGTGTGCTCAGACACCCACCTTCACCTGCAGTGAGGGATGGAGACCAGAGAGTTTTTCAAGCTCCCCATCTACTCTGGCCAGTGTAGGCTTCCTCCGTGGGGTTGAAGAGGGAAGAAAGGCCTGGGACAACCAAGGAATGGATGCTTTGGGGGTGCCGTCATTCTGCAGCCAGATTCTGAACCAAGGGATATTCCATTCTCACTGACTTCCTCAACACATCAGCAGCCTTGGGACTGCACTGAGGCTGGAGCTAGCCTGCAGGAAAGGGGGCCTGGACACTGGCAAAGAGATCCTTTTTCGCTGGGATCACAGCTCTTTCCACTATTTCCTGATGGCATGACACCATCATGGAGACCACTCCAACGCTGAACTTGGGACAATAAAGAGGGACAGCACAGAAGTGTATCTGTTTCAGCTGGTGGGAAGGGCAGCTATGGAACTTGGAGATGCCCCCTACTCTCCCGGACAAGCCAGCTGGTTAGGGATGGGTGAGGTGATTGATCTTCATGGGGCAAAGGGCCTGATGGTGATGGCAGCCATGAGGACTTCCTTGACCTGCTGTGTCAGCACCTCTCTCCTCTCTGCGCAACTGTCCCCAACCCCCGACATTGGTGGGTCTTAGGCCAGTTATGGTAAACCCTTCCCACTTCCTCCTTCTCTGCCTACTTTTCTTTGGATCTTGAGCAGTCATTCCTGCCAAGTAGATACTGGGGTGCCATTCCCCCTAAGAAAACTGAGCCAGGAATTGCATACCCTATCCCTTCAGAGAGCTTCAGAGAGGAGCAGGCCAAGGAGAAGCAACCCTCTGGCTTCAGACACTACATTTTCCTGCCCCTCCCCAGGCCTGGCCCTGGTTCCTGAGAGGGGCCTCTACCCCCCACCCCCTGCCACTCTGCTATTTACTGGACTTTGGATGGGCCTCTGTGCCTTAACATCAGCTGTTTGCTGTTAGCCATAAAGTGGGGGATTACAGCCCCGTCTGACTCCACTGGTCCCTTCAGGTTTCCAAAGTTCATGCTGACTAACCCAAACCTGTGAATCTCCAGTGCTTGCAGGCGGTGATTCTGGTGAACTGGCCACTCTAGAGAACACTGGACCTTTATGGCAGATGGGCCTAATCCTCCCAAGAGGGAGGTCTGGCCTGAGTGGGGAGACCCTGAGGAGGGAATCCCTGAGAAGATGGAGCCCCTGCCCAGGGCAGGATGTGGAGTGCGGCCAGCCATGAAATGCTGGTCAGGGCCCCTCTAACTGCAAGCTGCCTCTTGGCCACTCTCTGCTCACCTAGAGGCCTTAAGCTCTGGGTTTCCTATGGCTTCATGTTTAAATGTTTTTCCCTACCCCAGCAGAAGGTCTCTTCCCACCCCCTTTTGACTCATGCCTCACTCCAGCAGTGGAGACAATACATCATCTCCCATTGCTGCCCGGTGACTGAGGGAGACCTAGCTGGGACTGACTCTGCTCCACCCAGAGCTGCCCTGCCCACCTGGGAAGAGCAAGGCATCTGGGAAGGGAGAGACTCGAAAGTTTCTCCGACAGCCAGGCCTGGACAGCCAGGCCTGGAGACATTTGACCCCGCACACCAGGGGAGGACTGGAAGCCCAGGAGGCCCCCCGTTGTCCCACCTCCTGCCCCCTCATTTTCCCACCACCACTTCGGTGGTCTCCAGAGTGACCTGCAGGGTCAACACCCTCTGGAGAGGTGGTCCTTGCTCCGGGCTCTCCCCCCACTGGGTCTGTTAGTGGCCACAGGCTACCACACAGCCACCAAGCCCTGCTCCAGGGCAGGCAGCGTTCCCCTCTCCATCCACACAGCCCTGGAGAAGGCTCCAGCTCAGACGGGAGCTTCGGAGAGGAGCAGGCCAAGGAGAAGCAACCCTCTGGCTTCAGACACTACATTTTTAGCTCCCAAGAGAAAAGAGGCTAAATTTTGAGAAGTGGCAGGACTAGAGAATGGGATTTACCAGTCAGCAGCCTGGGCATTGTACTGTCTTTATTTTTTAAACCACTAAAGTGCAAGACTTATTTTGCAATTTTCTCCACTTTTGTTTTTCTCTTAGGCTTTTGTTTCTTTTTTTTTTAACATACTTTCTTCATTTTCTAATGGACTATATAGTTTGGCCATTTCTGCAGACTCTGGCCTCCTCTCTTTAACTCTTTTGGATGGGGAGAGGGAAGGTGAGAAGGGTCAGCCACCTGCACCCATTCGCCCCCACTTTGTCCCCCATCCCCAATTCTTCCACCACCACCACCACCACCACCACCACACTGTAGCCCATGCAGAGAGTTGTCAGACCAGAGTCCTTCAGATTCCAAGTTGCCTACCTGTTTGTTTTTTTCTTAAGAGAGCAATAACCACAGCATGTACTGCCTGAGTCCTTTAGAGTTTTGCATACATACACACCGTAGCTCTAGTCTCTCCTTATTTTTCATTTTCAACTTCTTAAAAAATAAATGCCCCTAATCATTACTGGTGAAAAGGATGAAAAAAATGAACAACAAAACCGGTTTGTGGAAAAAAAAATAGAAGTGGAAAAATCAACTGAATGCGGAAGAGCCTGCCTCCTGTTAAGCATTTTGTACCCAAGGAAAAAAAAAACAACAGCGGCCCAGAAGATCTCACGTTTATATTAAAACAGTGAAGATTGCTGTGTACTATTTATTCAACTTATGTTACTGCTTGGTCTTTGCCTTTTGTCATGACAAGGCATTTATTTAATAAAGTTACGCATTCAGTTAAAAAAAGACAATGTTCTGAAAGTAATTGTATACTCTTTTATCACGTAATAAAACCTAAGCTGCCCCGCAGCTAATACAAGAACTG